AAGGTGAGTACAAAGAGGTTGGCTGGGTTCATATATTCACTAATTATCTACTGAAACTCACCCATATTGTATCACTCACAATGAAAATAGCGGAAAAAATGTGAAGGAGGTAAACAAAACTTTCAAATTAATACCTGGAGGAACTCAATAGTATAATGTTCGTAGACTTTGCGCTATTGATACGTTTCAGAACTCCATGTTGAAAGACAAGACTTCTGGATTGTGTCTGTCGACAGCAGGCTTAAAAGCCGGTGAGGACATCATAGTAGAAGCTTGTGACAGCAGTAATCCTCACCAGATTTGGAGTTTTGTTGATCCTAATTTGTAGCCTATTTTGTGAAAAATGTATGGATTGTTTGATTTACGTTACCGGTATATACTGGATGTGATAGAATGTAATTCACCTCGCCTTCAGTGTTGTGTCAAAGCTTCCGTGCAATTGGTTCACTTTTCTTTTTCTTTTTTCTTGTTGTTTTTACTCCAGCTAGTATATGGGTTTAAATTATGTCTTCATCTCACTGTGATGTCAAAGGATTTGTTCTATTTAAGCATTCCACAAGTGTTAAGACAGGTGTAGTTATTGAACAGATAGTTGTTTATCGCATTTTAGTGTTAGAAAGATTGTTATGAACTATAAATAAAAGTCACATCTATCTATTTGTATATTGCTACCTATTGTTGCACATCAGATATCTTTTATAATCAATGGGTAAGCTAATCAATTACAAGACGACAAAGGTGGTTCGCAGTCAGGTCATTTTCATAACAAAGTAGGATTGTAAAACCTTCCAAAACATTCCGTAGTTCTTGAATCCTTCCGTAACATCTTTTAATTCAATCTTGTAAGGACATCCACTGATGTATTGAATTGCGCTATATTAGGTATAGTTTTTATAAACCGTTGCGGGCCTCTCTTGTTATTTCTCTTGAATTCTAGGGACGTGATAATGTCGATTCTCTTAGGAAATGGGAATATGCCTTACTATGACTAGAGTAGGAATTCCTTTGGCTTCCAGTCAGCGGTGTATAGTTTTCGCTTTCAATAATGTTCCAAAACCGGCGGGGAACTGTTTCATCAGCTATTGAGGTTACGTAGTTCACCTATCTATCAGTGGATGAAATCTAAAAGAAAAAATAATCAAATAGCCCGCTCCTGACGATATTGACTGGTAAATTTTGTATATTTTTACCGAAATCTCTCTCGGGCTTAAATTGCACGAGCTGCGAGAGAAGGAGATTACGCACGAATTCTGGAAACTCACTTCTCTAGGGTGTAGAATGAACGCATTTATTTCCAGACTGAGAAACGAAGGTTATGTTGATATGTACTTCTATCTCAATATTTATTATCAACTTTTTTGAGAATTTTTAAAGCGGTTTTCTCTTAACTCCCTTTTTTAACAGAAGAGTATTTTCATTTTCGACAAAAAGTAATCTTTAATGCGCGTAATCTGTCTCCCTTAATGCATATCATGCATCTCTTGTGATCAGCTATCAACATAAAATGTATGTAAAGGACAAAAATTGTCTAGGATGAGCGAAGGCGACGTCGCTGTAGTGT